CCCATGTCAAATGACATAGCCATAGAGGGCTAGAGCTGAGAGTGAAGCATCCAGCTGATATGAAGTGAGGGAGATGCACAAGAACACCCAAACTTGCAGATAGTACCCATTTGACCTAACTCGATGGCTTGATAATCAGAACTCAACTAGAGGAAGATGTTTTAAAATAATAATTTTTTTTTTAAATAAAGGAAATGAGGGTAAATTGCTACAATTTGATGAACTTGACCTATAGTCATAGAGGTAGTAACTCTAAATACCAACAGAGAGAGAAGGAATCTTCACATCAAGTATCAATACTATACAGGGTAGACAGAGACAGGCAACTTAGATATTGGCTACCTATAATGAGGGAGCAATGGAGGCACAAAGTCACTGGCACAAAGAAACAAGGTTTCAAGAGGTAGTTTAGTTTAACAGTGTGTTGGGAAAAAAGAGTCCCCACTGAATAGTTTTCATCTTGTCTAGATGGGTCTGGTTAAGAGATGGGTATAAGATTCTTATGATTCAGTAGTGAGTAATAGTTATCATGACTAATTGCGACTGTCACAATTGTAAAGGTAGAAGTTTTGTAACAAAAACGGGGGAGTAGTTAATTTTACAGTCCAGAAACAAAGGACTCTAGGACCATCAAGGGAGAAGAGCACAAGCAGAATGCAGGACTTTATCCAGAGAAGAGCTGGAGGCAGAGATGGGGACATGGAAAGAAGGAGCAGCTGAGGACTCTAGATTCATGGGAAGAGAGGGACTAAGAGCTGGCAGACAGGAGGCAGACTTGCAGAATGTGCCCTTTGGTGGTGTAAATTATTATATATGTCTGAGTGTTCAAAAAAAAAAAAGAGCTAAAGTGAATAGAGAAAAATACTGTTTCCTGATGGTACACGGAGGGGATTATAATCATTATAATGAAACAAGGTATATGATGGGTTGAATGTAAAACTGATGATCTGCCCTATAAATTGCCATTCAATTCACAATAAAAACTTTAAAAAAAATCTTATGCAGCAGATTTGCCTAATGCAATACATACTTTGAATATTAAGCTGCAGCTTCTCTGAGTGTTGATGGTTGATCCAAGAAAAATGAAGTATTTGACAACTTCAATCTTTTCTTCATTGATAAAAATGTTTATTGAGCCAGTGGTGAGAATTTTTGTTGTCTTTACATTGAGATGCAATCCATACCGAAGGCTATGGTCTTTGATCTTTATCAGTAAGTAGTTTATGTCCTCTTCACTTTCAGCAAGCAAGGTTGCATCATCTGTATATCGAAGGTTGTTAATGAGTTTTCCTCCAATCTTGATGCCACATTTCTCTTCATATAACCCAGCTTCTCAGATTATTTTCTTAGCATACAGGTTGAATAAGTATGCTGAATGAATACAACCCTATCGCACAGCTTTCCTAATTTTAAACCGTTCAGTGTTCCCATGTTCTGTTTGAACAACTGCATTTTGGTCCATGTACATATTCCTTATGAGCACAATTAAGTGTTCTGGAATACTTACACTTCGCAATGTTGTCCATAGCTTGTCACGATCCACATAATCGAAGGCCTTTCATAGTCAGTGAAGCACAGGTAAACATGTTTCTGGTATTCCCTGCTTTCAGCCAAGATCCATCTGGCGTCAGCAATGATATCCCTCTTTCCATGTCCTCTTCTGAATCTGGTTTGAACCTCTGGAAGTTCTCTGTCAATGTATGCTTGCAGCCATTTCTGTTACTACCTTTAGTAAAACTTTACAGTGACTATATTCCTTTCAGGCGGAGCCGCGGAGCCAGGTACTCCTGGCCGGGCGTGTCGGGGGTAGTAGCGCCGAGTGGGTGCCCGAGGGCTGCTGCAGCCGGCGGCATGACGAGCATGGCCTCGGAGATCATCGCCTTTATGGTCTCCGTCTCTGGCTGGGTGTTGGTGTCCTCCATGCTGCCCACCGACTACTGGAAGGTTTCCACCATCGACGGCACCGTCATCACCACCGCCACCTATTGGGCCAACCTGTGGAAGACTTGCGTTACCGACTCTACGGGGGTCTCCAATTGCAAGGACTTCCCTTCCATGCTGGCGCTGAACGGTTATATCCAGGCTTGTAGAGGACTTATGATCGCTGCTGTCAGGCTGGGCTTTTTTGGTTCCATATTTGCACTGTTTGGAATGAAGTGTACCAAAGTTGGAGGCTCAGATAAAGCCAAAGCTAAAATTGCATGCTTGGCTAGAAATGTTTTCATACTCTCAGGGCTGTGCTCAATAACCGACTGTTCCCTGTATGCAAACAAAATCACAACGGAATTCTTTGATCCTCTGTATGCTGAGCAAAAGCAGCGTCCCCTGTCGACCTGGTCTCCAGACACCTCTCACCCCGATGCTTCCTGGTCTGGGTTTCATTTAACACCTCCACCAGGTCTGAACAATTCTTGCACATTAGCGCGACCATTGGAAGCGACATCCGAGGACGGAAATCCCACCTTTGAGCCGGACTTAAGGGCCATAGCGCAAGGAGAGTCGTGTTTAACAGTGACCACACAACCACCACTCGTCTGTCTGTCTGTCTGTCGTGCTGTGGTGGTTTGAATTGCTGTGATTCTGAGGGCTATGCCACCGGTATTTTAAATAACCAGCAGGGTCACCCATGGTGGACAGGTTTCAGATGAG